ACCTATGTCATTGGTACCGATGTGTACCATGACCGCTGGTTGCTCACCCTCTCCTTTAAGGATCTTGAAGGCACAATCAGAGACATCACGGACCCTGGCACCCGGGAGGCAACATACCATCCGTTCATCTCGTTCGCATCCACAGAACCGCCTGTCTGTGCCTCTTACTATTGAATCCCCCAGTACAATAGTTCTCCTGTTCTCCCACCTTCCCTTCTGTGCCACAGGGCCAGGCTCAGTGCCAGAGACCTGTCTGCTATGGCCTTCCCTTGGTAGGTCACCCCCCCCAATAGTATCCAAAACGGTATACTTATTATTGAGGGGAACGGCCACGGGGATCCCTGCAATGTCTGCCTATTCCCTTTCCCCCTCTTGACAGTCACCCAGCTACCTTTTTCCTGTACCTTAGGAGTGACCACCTCCTTATAACTCCTCTCTACCACCCCCTCAGCCACCCAAATGATCCGGAGTTCATCCAGCTCCAGCTCCAGTTCCCTAATGCAGTTTTTGAGGAGCTGGAGTTGGGTGCACTTCTCGCAGGTGAGGTCAGAGGGGACACCAGCAGTGACCCTCATCTCCCACATCCTGCAAGAGGAGCATGCAACTGCCCTAGCTTCCATTCCCTCTACTCTAGATTTCCAGAAGAATAAAAAAAAGCCTTACCTTACCGACCCTCCACACGGTCTTTTTTTTGGTTAGAGGAGGAGGATGGGTGGGAGACACTACACATGTAGTGTTTCAGGTTTAGCCAATGCCTGAATATATTAGTTCCTTCCTGGCTTGCATGCTCACCACACACCCACCACTGAAAGCAAGAAGGCCGCTGCTGCACGAGGTAAGTTTTTATAAGGAAAAAGCCTTACCTTCCCGACAGCACCCTGGCTCACATTCTCTCCACTCCCAATGTGAACGAAAAGATGAAGGGGAGTTAGGGATCAAATCAAAATGGAATTGGTGGGGGGAATAAAGCACTTCACACCCTGCGGTGCCCATGCCTCCCAGGAGGCATCAAGGGTGTTGGTGCACACAACGTGCTGCTTTTCTAGGGACACCCGGGCCCGCATGTAGCCACGGAAAAGGGGCAGGCAGTCGGCCATAAGGACCCCATCCACGGCCCACTGCCTGGACCTATTAATGGCCAGCTTGGCCAGGCTCAGCAGCAGACCTGCGAGGAGATCCTCCGACCTGCCCGCTCCCCTCCGCACTGCCTGCTCCCCTCCGCACTGGGTGCCCAAAGATCAGGAGCTTGGGGCTGAAGTGCAAGCAAAAACACAAAAGGAGGTCTTTAAAGATAACTGACAAGGGAATGCAAGCGCCCACACTCAATATCTACGTGGTCCTTGGACTCCACAGCGCTGCAAAATAATCAGTTGGGCCAAGAGTTGTGAACCACCGCAATCTGCGGTTACAAGGGACTGCTGCGTGCAACAGCCTCTACCCCAGATCCCCGAGGGAAAGAGGGAGGACACCCACACAGAGAGCCCTCCCCTGGGGAACTCCACCACCTGGTGACAAACGGGCACGCCAAGGCGTTTTCGGGCAGTGGATAAAGGAGAAGAGATGGATGGTATGCAGCTGCAGTCTGTACGGGCTCTCCGCTTCACATCTTTGAAAGACAAAATTAAAATTCTGGAAGCGGCTCAGGCTCCCAAGGGAGGTATGGGATCCTGGGGCCAATCCCTTGCTTATAGGTGTTGGCCAGGGCTTCCTGATTGGCCCATGTTAACAATCCCAATCAAGGGCCTCGTAGTCAACAAGGTCCATCTGGTTCCAATCACTACAGTCACGCATCCCCATTGGTTGGCAGCAGCTGCTCCAGGAATGAAAGCCACGTTAAAAAAAAAGAAAGAGTTACTCATTCCTTTTCCTGCTCTCTTTGTGCTGTTTACTTTGTGGATTTGCAATGGGTTTCTTAACATCTAATCATTTTGCAACATGGTATAGCAGAGGAAGGGATTAACCAGAGGAGGGCCTTGGTTGCACAGAAAAAAAAAAAAAATCAGCAACAGGGCCATCAGTTGGCACCAGCTGACATGGAAGGAGGTCAGAAGGAACCAACCGGGATCATCATCTTCATCAGGAAAGAACAATGGTGTATCAATATGTGTCTAGAGCACACATTGACTACCTCCATATATGACTGAGAGAAAATATCAGAAATGACAAAGGCTTTCTTAGGAGGCGGTTAGTGACTTGTTCGTGTTTGCACAACAATACCTGCAGCCCCATAGCTTTGATGGGAATACCGTACTAATCAGCCTCAAAGTAAATGCAGCCCTAAACATCTGCATAACTGGCTTATTTCAAGACTTCACAGAGAACTTGTGTGGCATTTCCCCAAGTTAGAACATATAGATGCAGATATGCTCTTATCTGAGCACTGGATTGGATGCTCAGAACATGGATCACACCAGTATATCATCCCCAAAGTCCTTGGAGCAGCATATTACTGCATATTGGTCCACAAGTAAAATTGCGTGGCAGACTATGGGATTGCTCAAACTGCATTTCCAAAGCCATGACTAGTTTGATGGAAATTTACAATATGCCCACAGAAGGTGTCCAGGATTGTTGTCTTCTGCTGTGTGTCTTGCACATGTGGCATTTTAAAAAGGAAGAAGAATTGCTAATTGAGGACAGAGGAGCTGCTAACCTTCTCAAATGGCACTTGGCCAGCTTTCCCACATGTCGGGAGCATGGATAAAAAATGACAGGAATGTCAAGCACAACATCGCCTTCAATCATTTCGACCACAAGTAATACACCTACCTGGTCTGGCCTACATGTGAATCCAGACCCACAGCAATGTGGTTGACTCTTAACTACCCTCTGGGCAATTAGGGATGCTGGCCTAGCCAGGGATGTCCATTTCCCATGAACTAATTAAAAAAGCCTTATTTCCTCACTTGCAAACCTGCCTGCATTACTGGTGCACCAATACTGCATGTTCAGCCATGTCATTTTCCCTACCTGCATCCACCTATCACCATCCCACCTCCCCTTCCCCCTCAGCCCCAACTCCCCCTCCCCTCCCCAGTCCTGACGAAGGTTTTCAGCCCGAAACATTGACTTCCCTGCTCCTCCGATGCTGTCTGACCTGCTGTGCTTTTCCAGCTTCACATCTATTGACAGCTTTCCTTACTTCTTTTTCAAGCTCTGCATCAAGGGAATGATTGGCCATCATTGTGCACTCCAGGTAACCAAATTTACTAACCATTTCCAATAGGGCGACTGGGACAGAGACACAAACATTGTCCCTTTACCACAGTTCTCTCAATATTTATGGTCACCATTCCAGCAGCTATGGAAGGTTCTTACTGCACGCTAGGTAAGATTGCAAGTTCTACAGTCTAGTAAGACTGTAGTTGAAGGCAAAAGTACATTGCATTCTGATCAGGAAATGTCTTTATGCAGACAATGCTGTGTTTGTAGCCCACGTGGCAACTCAGCTGCAAGGACACATCTGGACCTTGGCGTGATGATGACAATTTCAAAGTCTACGGATGATACAAAACTTGGAAACGTTGCCAACTATGAGAAGGACAGTGTAGAACTCCAAAACGACAGATAAATTAGTGGAATTGATAAATTAGGTAGCAGATGATGTTCAATGTGCAGAGAAGTGTGACGTGATGCATTCTCGTAGGAAGAATAAGAACAATTAATACAAAATAGGGGTAAAATCCACCTGTGAATGTATGTGCTTAGATCATTAAAGATGGTAAAACAGTGGAGTGAGTAGTTGATAAAGCATTCAGTATGCTGGGTTTTATCAATAAGGGCATAGTGTGCAAGAATAAGGAGGTTATGCTGAAATTATACAAGGCACTTGCTGGACCTGGAGTATTGTGTATATTTCTGGACACCACACAATAGGAAGGATGTATTCGCATTGGAATAAGTGCAGAAGAGATTTACAAAAATGGTTCCAAAACTGAGAAACTTCCATTATGTGGACAGATTGGTTAGGTTAGGATTGTTCTTCATGGAGAGAAGGCAATTAATAGAAGATCTGATAGAAGTTTTCAAAATCATAAAGAGGTCTGATAGTGTGGATAGGGAGAAACATTTCCTACTCATAAAAGGATTGAGAATGAGAAGGCATAGAATTAAAGTCAATTGCAAACATAGCAAACGTGACACAAGTTAATACTTGTTTAAACAAGGAGGGTTCAGATCTGGAATGCATTGCCTTGAAATGTGATGGAGGCAGAGTGGATTGTTTCTATTCAAATTATCATGAATGCCTCAAAGTGCAAGGGGATATAGTTGGCAAATGGCACTAAATCATAATGCTTGTTGGAGAGCCGTTACAAAGTCTCCCTGTCACCTTCCATACTGTTACAATTCTGTGATTCTGCATCTTTAACAGGAAACTCCTCTTTGCTGGCGATACTGTGGTTGTAGCACATATGGTAATTCAACTACAAAGACTCATGAACGATCTCTCCTATCCCTGTAACTTGTTCTCTCCGACTAGAAGCGTTAAAAATAATTAGAGACCCACCATGGAAACATCAGCCAATATATAGAGTGGAAAAGATCTTAAGCTGAAGGGAAAAGTCTTAATAATGAATGCTAAAATTTTTGCTTCGTGTTCTGACCCGTGCTATGGTAGATAAGTAACTGAACATTGAGCGAGTAAGTATATGTTGCCAAGGTTTGGTTAGCTCAGGTGGCTGGATAGCTAGTGTGTGAAACAGTTTAACATTAACAATGTGGGATTTTATCTCCATTCTGGCTGAGGTAGACTCTGAGTCTGCCTTCTCACCCTTTCCAGGGTAAATAAAAATCACAACACTTAGCCATGGTTTGGTGAACAATTATCAGGGACATACCCTTGGGCGTGGAACTGAAGAACATTTTGTCAAAACTGTGAGAAGAGCTTATAATGGACCCAAATTTATAAATAGGTAATTGGGCCTTCGGTGTACATGAAAGAGTTATAGTTGAATTGTCCTGAAAAAAAGGACTAGAAGATAATTACTTCCAAAACATACCTTTAGCCATTCCTCTGCTTGTTCTTTGCTTTGCACAGCCAAAACGACAATGTCTGCTCCTTGCTGGGTGATTCGTAGCTCATGTTTTTTCCTTTTGCTGTCTTTAGGAACATAGGACACATTGTGGGCTGGAAGCAATAACTCCATCTGAGGTTGATGATCCTTTGAGCTTTTGTAGCACTAAAAGCAAAGATTAAATCCTGAGATCGCACAATACTCATACCATCCCACTTGCACTTGGTGCTGCATCCCAAGAGAGCAACAGATGAAAATAAGAGGGTGTTTCATTATCAGACCAATAAGAAAAGAAGCATACCAACAGTCTGTTATCTTTAATGACACAAAATTGTTTAGTCCACTGTCCAAAACGTTTCTTGCGCAGAAGAAAAGCACAGATCTTAGCATCTTTCACCAAATCCATTGAAGCCTCCTCAGATGGCCACTGGTGCCTCAGTTTCTTTCCCTTCCCATCCTCATCATCTTCATCATATGATTCATAGGAACTACTCATGGCATCTGAATCATAATCTGTAAGAAAAAGATAGTAAACGAGCAGGAATAACTCAGTATTTCTGCAATAAATATAGGACAATGCACCATATCAAAATTGATAGGTACATAATTTAACATTTTAACTCTAGTAATCCTTGCAGACAAATGGTTAGATCTTGTGAAATGCGCATGTCGGAGGTGAACGGATTATCTATGAACTGGATGCAAGGTTTGTTTATTTAAATTCACTTAATATAGAGGGTGAAATTTGCCAGAAGTATCATCACGGTTATCTACTAGACTAGCAATAGCTAGGCTGTCACTACCACATAGGAGCAGAGGAAAAGGAGTGGGCCATTCAGCTTCTCAAACCTGTCCTGCTATTTAATGCGATCATGGGTGATCTCTAGCCTCTGTCCTGCTCTTGTAGCCGCTGTGTTTATGAGACAAGTCCTGCTCTTGTTGCCGCTGTGTTTATGAGACAAGTCCAGTTGCGTTTCTGGTCAATGGTAACCCCCAGGATGTTGATAGTGGGGAATTCAGTGATGGTAACACCATTGAATTTCAAGGGATGGTGGTTAAATTGCCTCTTAGTGGAGATGGTCATAGCCTGGCATTTGTGTGACATGAATATTACTTGCCACTTGTCAGCCCAAGCCTGGATATTGCCTAGATTTTGTTACATGAGTGTGGACTGCTTCTGTATTGGAGAAGTCGCGAATGTTGCTGAACATTGTGCAATCATTCGCAAACATCCCTACTTCTGAATTTATGATGGAGGAAGATCAGTGATGAAGCAGCTGAAGATGGTTGGGCCTAGGACAATACCTTTGGGATGGGCAATAAAATGCTAGCTTTGCCAGCTATGTTCACCTCCCGTAAATTAATGAAAAAGCAGCAGGAAATACCTTGAGGAACTCCTGCAGAGGTGTCCCGGAGTGGAGATGACTGACCTCCAACAACCACAACCATCTTCCTATGCGTCAGGTATGACTCCATCCAGCAGAGAGTTTACCCCCAATTCCCATTGATTCCAGGTTTGCTAGCACTCCTTGATGCCCCACTTATTCGCATGCAGCCTTAATGTTAAGGGCGGTCATTCTCACCTCACTTCTGGAATTCAGTTCTTTTGTCCATGTTTGAACCAAGGCTGTAATGAGGTCAGGAGCTGAGTGGCCCTAGCAGAATGCAAACTGGGCATCACTAAGCAGGTTGGGGTGCTGCTTGACAGCACTATTGATGACATCTTCCATCACTTTACTGACGATCGAGAATAGATTGATGGGGGAGTAATGGCCCAGGTTGGATTTGTCCTGCTTTGTGTGTAAAGGACACATCTGAGCAATTTTCCACATTGTCGGGTCGATACCAGTGTTGTGACTGTACCAGAGATAACAAGGTGTAGAGCTGGATGAACACAGCAGGCCAAGCAGCATCATAGGAGCAGGAAGGCTGATGTTTCGGGCCTAGACCCTTCATCAGAAATGGGGGAGGGAAAGGGGGTTCTGAAATAAATAGGGAGAGAGGGGGAGGCGGAAAGAAGATGGATAGAGGAGAAGATAGGTGGAGAGGAAACAGACAGGTAAGCGTGGAGGCGGGGGCAGCAGCGGAAAAACTGCTCTATGTCCAAACGTGACCAGTATTCGTTGATATGAGTACCTGGTTTGCTCGACCATGTCCTGAAGCAAACCAATTGGACATAGAGCAGTTTTTCCGCCGCCTCCGCCTCCACGCTTACCTGTCTGTTTCCTCTCCACCTATCTTCTCCCCACCTCCTCCTCTCTCCCTATTTATTTCAGAAACCCCTTCCCCTCCCCCATTTTTGATGAAGGGTCTAGGCCCGAAACGTCAGCCTTCCTGCTCCTATGATGCTGCTTGGCCTGCTGTGTTCATCCAGCTTTACACCTTGTTATCTCAGATTCTCCAGCATCTGCAGTTCCTACTATCTCTTGTAACTGTACCAGAACAGCTTGGCTAGGGGAACAGCAAATTCTGGAGCACAAGTCTTCAGTACGATTACCTGAATGTTGTCAGGGCCCATAACCTTTGCAGTGTCCACCAGTGTCTCAAACCATTTGCTGATATCACGTGGAGTGAATTGAATTGGCTGAAGATTGGTATCTGTAATGCTGAGGACCTCTAGAGGAGGCAGAGATGGATCATCCACTCAGCACTTCTGGCTGAAGACAGCTGCAAAACTTTCAGCCTTATCTTTTGTACTGATGTGTTGAGTTCTTCCATCATTTAGGATGGGGATATTTTGGAGCATCCTCCTCCAGTGAGTTGTTTAATTATCTACCACCATTCACGACTGGATATGGTATGGCTGCAGAACTTGGATCTGAAATGTTGGCTGTGGGATCACTTAGCTCTGTCTATCTTTTGTTGCTTGTGCTGACTGGCACAAAGCAGCTGCTTGGTTTGATTTTATCTCATTTTTAGATATGTCTGGTGTTGCTCCTGACATGCTGTCCTGCAGTCGCCATTGAACCAGGGTTGATCCCTGGCTTGATGGTAATGGTTGAGTGGAGGATATAGAGTCATAGAGCATGGAATTACAGCATAGAAATAGAGCATGGAAACAGACCCTTCAGTCCAACTAGTCCATGCTGAACATAATCCCAAACCAAACTAGGCCCACCTGCCTGCTCCTGGCCCATATTCCTCCAAGCCTTTCCTATTCAGACATCCATCCAAAATGTCTTTTAAACACTGTAATTGAACGCGCATCCACCATTTCATCAGGGAGCTCATTCCACATGCAAACCACCATCTATGTTGCCTTTTTTGTCTTTTTTAAAAACATCTCTCCTCTCACTGGCTGGAGTATAATTCTACCGCAGTTGATAGCCTACAGCACTTCACAGATGCCCAGTCTTGAGTTGCTAGATCTGTTCAAAATCTGTCTCATTTAGTACAGTGATCGAGCCACACAACAGAGGTACTATCTCAACGTAAAGAAAAGGACTGTGCTGTAGTTATTCAAAGAAGAACGAACACAGAAGGAAGAACGAACACAGAAGGAAGAACGAAC